TGTAATGATTATTTGTTTCATGCCGTTTTACATATATTCACGCCGTAAATAGAAGAGAAAGCGGAGAATAAAAGATTTAATTTATATAAAAAATGAATCTTGATGATACAGTACTAAATGTACTATAAATTTATGCAATTATAAATGCATTACAAAATGCAGAAATAGCAGAAGAATGAAGAATTTTTCATATCAGGGATGATTTAAATTATCTAATGAACAATTTATTATATTGTTTCGTTTAAGTAAAGCCGCAGTGATATCTTATTGATCTTATTGAACATTTAACTCCTCAAACAAGAATATCCTCAATTGATCCTACAACTAAGGTAATTATTCCAAAATACGTATATGCTAAACATAAACAATAAATAATTATTTTTCTGTAAGTTAAACATAAATCATAAACAACTATTTTTCTATAGGTTATTACAGTATTGCGATTTTTTGCGAGTGGTTCTTATCAGATGGATATCGGAAAAAATATTTATATGGCTGTCAGTTAACCAACAGTTTCCCGTTGTATTCATGAAATAATAGATGTAATAATAAGAAAATCAATGAACCATTGGATTAAATTTCCTTCTACTCTTGCAAAACTGAATGAATTGCGAACAGAGGGAGAATAATTTTCTGTAATATATAAAATATATAAGAATAAATATAAAATGTGTATATAGATATGTATATATTATTATATTAGGTGTGAAAAAGTTCGTGGTGTTTTTTTAATCCCATCTAATGGGAAAAACGCCACTTTTTCCCCACATCTAATAATTATATGTATATATTATTATTGTAAACTTTTATATAAGATTTTCGAGCCAATCAATAATGCAAATTTAATAAAAAAAAATTATAAAAAAATATACATAATTAAAAAAAAAATAGAAAATAAAATAGAAATATAATTAAAAAAGAAAATTATATATATTTTTAAGGTTATGGAAACATACATTTTTTTAGTTGTACTGGCTAAACATAAGAAAACTAATTAAATGTGATTCAATTAATTACTTTTCAACATAATAATTTTTGCCGGCATGAATTACCATTTCGCTGTCGACTGTATGCTTTTGGATCTAATGTTTGTAGAATATATTTTATAACGTTGTACAACATATTTCCGCATATTAAAAAACGTATGTTTCCCATTGCGAGTGCTACAAAACAGTACTCAAGAATATAACATCTTTTTCGTCAATCGCAACGTGCGTATACGCAAAGTTGCATACAGATTCAAGAATAGGACCCCAGAAGATCAATTGTGGATTTTGAAAGTAAGTGATGAAAATTACAAAAGTGAGCAAAGATTACCAGGTATTGACCAATTAAATTATGAATCTAGTGAATCTAATCTAGTGAATTTGCTCACTTTTGTAATTTTACTTCATTTGAAGATACACAATCGACTCCCAGAAAAACATGTGAACTGGTGAGGAACTGCACCATTCAATCAGCCGAACACACCAGTTGTACCGATACTCAAAATGTTCCAGCCGAAATCATTATGAGCGCAAAAATGAAATGGAAATTATCAAATACATGTTTTATTAACAGTACAATAAAATATATTGGGGATTGTATGATAATTAATTAATCTGTTTTTAATATATTTTTACGGCAATTGTGTATAACAGCTTTATGTACACTAGTGCATTCCAACCAAAATCGCTATTATTAATAATTATCTCCGGGCCTTTGAGGCCGTTTTTATATCACTGAAAATTTGTCCAAGGTTGATGATCTTTAATAGTATCTCGTCGATTATTATTCATTATTAAAATAAGTTAAACCTCGGTTAAAAGTTAACGATGAATTGTGAAACTGGGCTTAACCCATGCAACCGTCGTCATTTTAATCGAGATTGATGAAAAAGAAACCTAAACCCGATCAAAGGCTGTGCATGTAAACGCGTGGTCAATGATTCGAAAGGTTATAATAGCAGTCTAGTAATAAATCAGCCTAGTAATAAACAGCAATAAATAATATTTATTTATCGTAATAAAGAATAAAAATAAGAAAATAAATACAATTGATTTTTTACTTGTTCTTTTTTTCTTCTTTCTCTAATTTAGAAATGAATAAATTATACCCGGCGGATAAATCGGGCGGATAAGTCAGACTGTTACTATGACCTTTCGAATAATTGGCCTAATTTCTATCGAGGATTTAAACCAAATCAGAATGTAAGAAACTATCTACAGTCGAGCATTCTCTTGTCGCTTGACTGTAACAGTGGAATATTTGATTGTAATTGGCTGATTCTAACTTGATGGCTGGTTTAAATCTTCGATGGAAACTAGGCCATTGACGGACAGTACATACATCGGACATACATCAACAATTTTACAAGTATCTTTGGAAAATAGATAGACTTTCTTCTATTCAGTTCTGATAAGATAGTGAATGATTACGGTATGTTGAGATCAAAGGTACAGACACGAAGTATCCTTACTGGTTATATTATATGCTTCCAAGCATGTATGTAATGAGGCGTATTTTCGTTATGCAGAAGCAACCGTAACTAAGATCTTTGTCTTCTGATTCCTATATATGTTTAAGATTTAAATTAAGAGAATTGACGTCATTTTGATGATAGTTGCTTTATTCGAGTAAATATTTACTTCTAGATGGCGCAGTGAACATTGATCATTGGAAGTACGGGGTGTCTCATAAAATCAATTTCACACAGAGTACAGACTACAGATCATTATTAACCATAATATTATTATTCATATTTTTTTGACTGCATAAATTTTACTTATTGAAGTAAATATAAGATTATGACATAAAAACATAAGCGAATCAGTCAATTACAGTAGAGAGCCTGAAACCTAAGGTAATAACATAAGCAGTACCAAATATGGATTTATTTACTGCTTAAGTTTTTGTGTACTATAGCTTTAATGATAGATATATTAAGCAATTATATAAATAAGAGCTTTTGTTTTGCTCTTTTAATATTTTCTATAATACTAGACTTTGGGACGCCTTGTATATAAAAACTAATGAGTCGGGATTTCCTGTGATTGGCTGTGATTCGTATTTCAAGGATAGAGGTCAGTGTGTTTTCAAGGTTCAGGAAATAAAAAGAGTCCGTAAGCTATATATATTTTCGTCTTCGAACGATGCTGGCGATTTGATAATCCAATAAAGTTACATCGTGCATCGCGGTGATATCTGAGTTCTATTTTAATATACGTGTCATTTTTTTAATACAATAATACTTGTTTATTACGACAGTAAAGGGTAGTTACATTTTCCATCAACTTCAGAATTGATATTTTCAACAAAATGCTACGTAAGTATTCTTAAAGAAAATCAATCTCTTTTAAAAAATTAATATTAATCTTTGTAGCTTGATTACGTATGTGTCATTCAAATCTCTTTTAGGCAAATATTTCCAATTTTTGTATGAAAAGAAGTAATAATTAGCTATTGTTTTTCACGTTGTATGCGAACAAAAAAAATTCTTCAGATTTTTTTGAAAAATTTCATTATAGTTTTCAAAACATTTGTATATACTAAAAAATTTTTTTAACATTACGTATTTTATTATTACAAGTTTTATTGTAGTTTCTCTATTGTTCGTATAAAGTGAAAGCTTGAAAAACAAAATTTGTAGTTAAAAAATATAACATTGATACATTGGATTCTCTTGTTTTCTTCCATTTTTATCTTTTGTTTTAATCTGCATTTTTTTAAATAAAAAAATTCAAAGAAATAAATTCTTTATTTTAATGAAAACAGTAAAAATACAACAAAAAATCTAATTAATATGACAAAATATATTTTTATAAAAAAAATTTATAATAAATTTAGTAGACAAAATAAAATGGTAAATCTGTAAAATGTTTTTAAACTCAATTTTTTTATTAAAACTTATAAGTTGTCCTATATTATGTATTTTTTAATTAATTTAAATTCATACTTCTATTAAATCGTCTGCATTTTAAATGTTTTATATAGTTAAAAATATCTTTAATGATAAGCACCTCTTTATATGTTTTTGAAAATTAATAAAATTAATAAAAGGGAAAGTTTCTTTTTCTTCTTTATAAAATAATAATTATAGAATAATACGTAATTAATAATCTTAAATATCTTCATTGCTATTATATATTTTATTGGCAAATTATGAAAAATAAGAACTTAGTTTAACTTCTAAGAAAACATTATTTGTCTTTAAACTTGTATTTCTCGTTAGCTATATTATATCTGCTCTGTGTGCACATAAAATAAATACATAAAAAGATCAGTAAAATGGATTTTTTAACATAAAACAAATATCTAAATATAAAATTAATGAAATTATCTGTTTCATCAAAACCAATATTTTTATAAAAAACACATATCAGTATGAAAAATTATTTTATAATTTCCTCTTTCTATCATAAAAATATGATCATATTTTGTCATTACTTATTATGGTATAGTATTTTATATAATTTAACATATTTTTTAAAGAAAAAAATGAAAGAGAAAAAGAATAAACAAAACAAATTGTTTAAATTGAAGTACAAGAAAAACTATATTTTAAAATATTAATATCTTGTATTATTTATAGGAATTGCATCAATATTTCTACTTTTTGCCATCTCAGAAATCATTGCTCAAGATTGCGAGAATAAAGATACACAATGTTCCACACTATCGGAATTTAATCAAGACACCAATTGGCAGTCAGCTACTTCAGTTTATGATTTCTATGCAAACGACATTTTGGGCAAAAATGTCTCATTGGAGAAATATCATGGTCATGTTCTTATTATTGTTAATGTAGCCAGTAACTGTGGCTTAACAGATACCAATTATAAACAACTCCAGCAACTATATAATAAATATAGCGATAATGGTTTGCGAATTCTTGCGTTTCCTTCTAATCAATTTGCTGGTCAAGAGCCGGGCACTTCTGAGGAAATATTAAATTTTGTGAAACAGTACAATGTTACTTTTGACATGTTTGAGAAAATTGATGTAAACGGAGAGAATGCTCATCCGTTGTGGAAGTGGCTGAAGACACAGAAAAGCGGACTCATTACTAACGCAATTAAATGGAATTTTACTAAATTTATTGTAAACAAAGAAGGTAAACCAGTAGAAAGATTCTCTCCGTCTACTGAACCATTAAGTATGGAAAAAAGTTTGAAAACGTACTTTTAAGTTTGTACAACGCTTGTTTCCTTCCTTCCTATATTTTATACATATTTTTAATAATTTTTTTATTTAGTACACAAATATAAAATTACATATGCATGTAATTATATAATATTAACAAAACACGGATCTTTTTTTTTAAATATACTTTGTCACATGGTGTATGGAAAAATATATTGTATTTAAAGAAAATATTAATAACAAAAACAAAAAAATATTATTTTATAAATATATACCTTAAGATTACTTGTTCACTAAAAATTTATGGATATATAAGATTCATAGAAATGTTAGAAAGAAATACTAAATTATTTTCTGCATGAGAATTAAAAAACTTTGATGTAATGAATTACTCAAACTTTGTATTCTTTACAAACTGTAAAATGTATTTAAAAATATTTAATTAAAATTTATCGCTTATAAAGTTATACATACTTTAATTATCAGTAAGAATGACATCGATTTATATTCTCTAAATTTTAACAACGTATATCTATGTGTATCAATGTAATTTATATCAATTTTATATTTTTATCTTTTTTCAACGTTTTACTACAATAAATGGCTGAATTTATAGACATGAAAAAGTGACATTTTAATGACGAAATTTATGTTGCATGTCATTTCGTTATTATTTGCTTAATTGTGAAAATATGACTTGTCTCGTACTTATCAAAGTTGTAATTATCGATGAAAACTAAAATTATTTTAGAATTTTATATGTAAAAGCATATTTTTTACTCGTTTCAACAACTGTTAGACCGTATGTTTCTATCTGAATATAGGCATAAGTTCACTTTATGTGTCTTTTATGACCATTTACTATTAAGGGAAAAAAGGACAGTTTTTCATCGATTTTTACAAGTGTTTTAAAGCGATCTCATCATATCGTTTCATTTAAATTGTCCTTACTTATAAATGGCATGCAACATATGGTCTGTATTCTGTTCCTGCACTAGACTGCACTAAAGTCTCTTTCTCGCTTTCGATAAATATCAAATATATACTTATTTCACTTTAAGTTCCAAAAGTGTACACTGGTTCAGTCACAAAAAAACCGACCTATAAATTAAGGGACAGGAGTGACGAACCAAGTCCGATTTGATTTTAGAGACCTCACGTGATAGGACTTTGAAGCTCTGGCTTCAGACCAACTTCAGATAATATAATATATTCATTTTCTTATGTGATTGTGTATTCATATACGAACACTAATATATGATTCTTGTCAAGAGCGAACGAGAGCAAGAACCCGATGTTCTCGCTCAGGGGCCCTATTCTTGAAAAATATCGCATACAAAAAACTAAAGAAATCCTATAGTATATGTAACGCATACTACAATATTTCCCTACTTTTTGTATGCGATATTTTTCGAGAATAGAGGCTCTGGAGATCGATTCTGTATCTTGAAACAAGGTGAAAATTACAAAAGTGAGTTTAGAATACTAATAATTTCGTTGGTCAACATCTAATAAATTTGCTCACTTTTGTAATTTTCACTTTGAAGATACAGAATCAACCTCCTGATCGCTGTACAAGCGAAGACTGAAAATGCTTTCTCAATGATCTCGGTCGCTCGGTGTATATTAGTATAAGGGCATTCGAAATAACATATAAGTTTTAATAAATTTTAGTAATCATATATCTTTCTCATTAATGTATAATAGCAAAATTGATTTCAAAACGCAATAGTTTATAAGATATTAATTTACAATTTTCCATTTATATATTACGTTCATAAACACAATATGTAAGAACTCCGTTTAGTTAGTACGATTCTGATTGCGCGTGTAAGATACGAGATCAGTAAACTGGAGATCCCATGTTCGAATCCTACGTTCTTTTTTCTTTTTTTCACATATTTTTTCTAAAATAAAGTTATTAATAAACATATTAGCGAACATATTTTTATATAATTGAATTTATACGTGCACTTTAAAAGTTTTAAACCAATAATCAAAATATAGTCAAATAAAAGTAAAGTATAGTTAAACGTTAGAATGAATATAAATATAAATTACTGAAATCATATTAGAGGTTGGACACAATATAAATAAATTATGATAAATATATTATTAAATCTTCATTGTGTCAGTGAGTAAAAAATTCGAACTAAAATACTTCTTTGTTCAAATGCAAAAACAAATGGAATCACGTTATATAAATGATTGATGTATCTTAGCCAAAATTGAATGTCCTGAAATACATCTACGTATACGTATAAAAAAATAAATTAATTACAAGAAAATTCAATTTAATAACAGATTCTATGAAAAGATTATATTCAAATAGACTGAAAATAGTAAAAATAGTAAAAATGTTTCGTGTCAGAGTAATTCCAAATTTAAAGCTCTTAGTGTCTTAGTAGTAAAATAAGTAGAAGAGAAAGAGAGAGAGAGAGAGAGAGAGAGAGAGAGAGAGAGAGAGAGAGAGAGAGAGAGATAATATAAATTTTAATGAAAATAAATTCATTAGATGGAATGCTCATTTTCTTTTCAATATAATAATTCTATTCCTGATTTTTATACTTTGTATTGCAATAAAGCGTTGTCTTCCTACAAGTGACACAATGCAAAATAGTGTTCATGTTATCCTTGTCGAATAACAAGGATATGATACACCGTATACTACTCAAGATTTGATATGAAACCTTTCAGGTCTTTTGTAGAAAGCAATAAGGAACAAGGCTAACAGGCGCCATCACGAATTGTAAATTTTTGTATATGCACACATTTACGTATATATAAATGTTATTTTATAATTACGCATACATTGTAAATACATATGTAAAAAAAAAATTCTAACAAGTTAATGTTTCTTGTAATAAATTAAGAGTAGCAATATAATTTAATATTAATATTTTTAAGCAATTAAATACGATAGCGTATAATCGAGCTTTAAAGGAAATTATAATTATTATAGAGTATTCGATATAATATATATATAGAGCATTAAATGTTTATTTTAAAAGAATAAATGGATGTTTCAGATCCTTTTACAACAAATCAATTACTTTTTTATCACATAGCCATGATCTCCTCCGAATATATTAAAATATTAATATATTAAAATATATTAAAATATTGATATTTTAAATATTCTTTATTTGTCTTTACAAAAAAATTTAATGATTTTGTATATATACAAATTAATAAAACATCGTAAAAGAATTTGTATAATTAACATGACTATTGCATTATTAATTTTTTCGAATTAAAGTTTCTACCAGATTAAACATCAATTGTTAATTAGTTATTTAATAGGTTACAAATCTACACATTTACGTAATCAGTATTTATAGTAATAATTATTTATTGTGTTTTACACAGTTATATTAGTAAAATTAAAGAAAGACTATACGCTAGCACTTTTTTAGAAATTTATAAATGAAAGCGCAATATATTGGGTTGTCCGGAAGTTCGTGCCGATTAACCTATATAATTTAATAAATGTATTAAAATTTAAATTTTCTGCGTTTCAATTTTCCTTCAATATCGGCACGAACTTTCCGGACAACCCAATAAAAAGCGTTTTCTTCAATGACTAATTTTATAACAAATAACGAATTGAAAACATAAAAATTAATTAACTTAACTCTCTCAGAACAGCACAGAATATTTATAAAATATTTTATAAATACTCTGTACTGGACTAGTCAAATAAACTCTTAAAATAAATATTAACGTTAAAATAATAGAATTATTCTCTCGTTCTCTTGTTTTTTTCCTTAATTTTGATATAAAATTATAAATAAATATATTATATAAAGTAAATCATATAAAATTTTAAAATTAAATAAACTCTTTAGTGCATTAATGCAAAAAATATTTTTAATTAAAATCTGTTTTAATAATTTACTTTAATAATTTACTTTAATAATTTAACAATAACTTCTTCATAAATTATATACCCAAATGTTGAGTAATTAATTCAATGTTTAATTTAGTTTATACTGTGCTTTCATTGTAAAATATTAGCTTTCTATCTCGCTATATGTTTTTATTTATGTGTTGAGATAAAAAGTTACTCTGAATATTGAAATTATTTTTACAAACAAAACAACTTTTAAATAGAAATTGAAATTGACAAATGCATTCAAGAAGACATTATCGCTATTTCTGTTATTCCATCTTCTGTTTATTAAATGTAAAACAAGAATAGCATGCCAAGAAAGAGATAAAATAAAATAGTTGATTTTATCATTTAACTTCATATAATGTAATTATAAATATTTTAATTATGATTCTAATTTTTCTCGCTTTTCAACAAAAAGTCTGATTTGAACTTTTTACTATTCACTGACATAATGAAGATTTAATAAATTAATTTATTTATATTGTATTCAACCTATAACATGGTTTTAGTTTTTTATCTATATTCTTTCTAATGTTTGACTATATTTAGGTTGTTGGTTTAAAACTTTTAAAAGTACACGTATAAATTCAATATAAAAATATGCTCGCCTTAATATGTTTATTAATAACTTTATTTCAGAAAAAATATGTGAAAAAAGGAAAAAAAACGTAGGATATGAGATCTCCAGCACTGATCTCGCACCTTATGCACACGATCACATGAAATTCTTGCAGACTCTCTTTATAAACGCAATATGTAACGCCCATAAAAAATCGTAAATAATTAATATCTCATAAATTATTGCGTTTTGAAATCATTTTTGTTATGTATTAATGGGAAATATATAATTATTAATATTTAAAACTTATATGTTATTTTGAATGCCCTTATTACTGCCTTATACTGATATACATCAAGTGGCCGAGATCGCTGAGAAAGCATTTTCGGTCGCTTCTACTAAGTGAGATCGAAAGAAGGTTTTTTTTTCAACAGGTTGTCTCATTCATTATAGTTCACTCTCGACTACTCTCGGCTCTCGGCACGCCAAAAGCGAGAATTATCAATGCCATCAAGAAAGACAATGAAACCTATTACCTTTCTTTGTTTAACTCAATGTGTAGAATTTCCCTATGATTAGCAATCAGTTGTAGCAGAACGTGCAGTGGTGAGCTAGGTTATGATCATTTTTCTTTTCGAAGAAATATTATTTCTTTATGAAACCTGTTGGGATTTCTTTTTT